TGGTGATGGTGACGATGAAACAAATGATTCTGATGGTGATGAAGAGGATGTAGATTATGCTCCTTCTAACAGTGACGATGATGTTCATATATCCAATACAGGTTTATCTTCATCAGAAAAAAACTGTTACTGTTGATCATCCTTTACTTAGGACACAGGTCTCGGATTGTGTACAAGAAAAAAACAATGAGGGTTATTTGGAACCTACTATGAAGCCTATTGGATCTGATCCAATTGTTTTTGGTGTTTCCTGTTTAACACCTCGGTGGTATGAGACAACTGTTTTCGTGAAGATACTTCGTGTTTGGACCCAGTCTATGCCCAACTCTGAAAAAAAATTGGCTTCCATTTTTTGTGATGAACATGTTTGATATGTAAATTAAAATTTACCACCTTCTTTGGCTTTGATTTATTTACTACTTGAATCCTCATACTTCATTTCTATTATTCGTGCAGGGTTCTAAAATTGAAGGTTTGGTCTATGCTCCAAATTATGACTTCTTTTCAAAGAGGTTATTTAAAGAAAATTGGATTACAATTCAAAATTTCGAGGTTATTCCTGTTACTGGGTGCTTTTGAGCTACTAACCATTATCAAAGATTCTTTTCCAAAGTAATACCATCATACAAAAGGAAGATTTGCCTTGCAATCAGAACTTCTTTTCTTTCATCGATTTCCAAACAATTAAAAACGACATTTATTCAAATGATTACTTACAAGGTTAGTGTATAGAAAAATAAATATTATTTACTATATTATTATACTGTTTCAGAAAACCATATAACTCATTATTTTTTCTCAATACAAGATTAATTGGAGAAGTGATTAATGTTGGGAAATTCAACGCATGGGAAGGATATGCTTCATACAATATAAAACATACCAGTGGTTACAGCGAAGATGAGACTATCACATTTGATCTTAGAGATTCAAGGTAGGTGATAGTGCTAAAGAAAAAAACAAAAATTTAATATACATTCTATTCGTTACTGATTGTTGCTTATTTATTTTCATATTTTATTTTTCTGTTTCAAACAGTTGACTTTCCCGTGCCTTGCGCGGACTAATATAATTTTTCATTTGATTGTTTAAAAATCTAATAATAGTTTAGATTCATTTATTTTTTTATTCTTTATTGATGAGTATATTTGTTTATTAAATTTTCTTGCATTTTAATGTTTGAAAACATGATCGTGAAAATAATACAAAATAATATTTGTTTTGGCTTGGTTGATCAAATGGAAACATTGGTTTGCATGAATGTCAGCATTGGTTTAGAAACATTGGTTTAATGCTTCATTACATTATAAATCAAACTATTTTTCAAATTTAATAAAACCGATATTTAGTAAACCCTAACAAACCCTAATAACATTCGGTATTTACTAAATGCAGAAATAGAATGCTTAAGCTCTATCATATGGAACAAACTGAACAATAAATATAATACCAAATTACTCCACGAAACTCGAAGGTTAATATTCAGGAAGTGAAGCGATTCAATGCATTAAGAATGGTGTGGGGATTATCACAAGTCCTTTCACTCGAAATATTCAATGACCCTAAAAATGGATATATCTTCGAGAGAGAACAATGTGAGTTTGGTGTTGATGTGATGGTTGCTTCGCCTTTTGCCAATTGGGAAGTCATTTCTTTCGATGAAAAGCTACCTTTCCCCAAGTTCTCCTAGGGTGTTAAAGATTTCGTGGTGCTTAAAGAGAATCATTATGTATCAGATAGCTTTTTAATGGGAGGAAGAAAATGGTGAGTCTAAAGTATTTTCTACATATCATGCATATATGTATTTGTTCAGCAGTGCTAACAGGTACACTGTAATATTCTCTACGGCAATAAAGTTGTATCCCAAGGGATATTCGAGAGCAGTGCTAACAAGTACATCATATGAATCTATACACACCGATCTCTATAAACCTATACACCTTCCGATCTAAAATTCACTCGCCAAGGTCAAGTATCCTCACATAATATTTTGCTCTGTATAGCCAAGTATCCTCAATTCTGGATTAAATCGGTGATGATTCATCACTATATTTTCATTTTGTTTGTTCTTTATAGTATTAAATGGATTTGGTTCATGTTGTTTATAAAAATATTTATGTTATCATTTTATTTTTGATCGTGCCTCTTGGGTTACAAATTTTGGTTTTGGTCGTTGTAAAGATATTGAGACCAATTTTAAAACTGAAACAGAAAAATGATGTTTCTTGTGTGATTATTATTTGATCTTTTTTACAATAATTTTGCTTGTGCTTTACAAAATATCCTCTATTACACTTGCAGTAGTTTTCTTTTCTCTTTTCTACTTGTGCGGTAAGCTTGGCTTTACTTGAGCCACTTAAGCATCTAGCCGAGAATCCAGCTTTAACTTTAGAGATACAAATAATTTACTGTTTCCATAGTCGTGATTTTTCCTTTAGTATTGTCTACTTACTTCTATAAACTATTAATCGATATGTTTAGATCTTATGGCCTAAAAGTTACTGATTGACTGATCATTTTGTGTATATAAGATGGTTCAATTTCATCTGACAAAAGAACTTAGTGGAGGCGATAAGATATCACACGATGGAAATTAAGATGTGATGGCCTTAATCTCAAGGATAGTTTGCTTCGCAAACTCAGAAGCCGTATCAGTTCTTTAAAGTTAGATTTATTAAAGAAAAAGAAGAAAAGAAAGCTACAGAGAGAAGTTTTACTCTGGTGGTGGAATGTTCATTACAAATTTACAAGTACCTTTATCCTACTAAAAGGCCAAAACACACTATGTTCATCGAGCCAACCATAATTACAATAATGGGAGTTAATCGTTAACGTCGTCGTCTCCGCTACGAACACCACCTCCACTTCAAACATCTCGGTTCCTTTCACCTTTAACTATGGAGTGTTCCTCTGCTTTCTCTTCTTCATGTTCCTGCAGTTTTTGAAAAAATAGAGTATTAATCAATGTTTGTTCATCCTTTATACTTCGAATTACAGCGTATGTGTTTCTCTATCTACATGTCTCTAAAGATAAGCTTTTGTTTAAAAGTGGTTTAGTTTAGTGACTTTTTATGACTCCAGAATATATACTTCAAGAGAGAAAAAGTAGGAGACGACACTTATGCAGAAGATAGTGCAATCAAAGAGTATTGTAATAACAGAGAATGAATTTAAGACATGAGGACGTCAGAAGATGAAGAAGCCTCTCGAGGGGAAACAATTTAATCATTTTACCTTTTGGTTCAAGTCACATATTTCGTTTCTTAATACATTTGGTGGCTCGTGGTTTTTTGTGTGGATTCTGCATGATGATGAAATCAAACTGAGAAGGAAATTACTTCGTCTAAAGCAGTTCAGTGTTGATGTTGCTGCTGCTCATTGCGAACTTGATTCTTTGTTTCTAAACTTTATTAAATCACACATAAGGAACCAATCACGTCTTTCTTATGGATTTCTCTTTAAATTATTCATGGAGATTGTACTAAATATAATCATTTCACTTGTGGTATTTTTTTAAAATATGGATAAAATATTATATGTTCGTATTTGATGGTTTTGATAAGGTTGTCAACCATATAAAATAATATATTATATGTTAATAAATATTTCAAAAATACACAAGATTAATATTGAATATTATTTTTGCACATATTTATAATAAAAGTAAATGTTGATTTATTGATCTATTGTGACGATAATACATATATAAAACATCTAAATATTACATAAATTTATAAATTTCAGTTACATTTTGTATATGCTATGGGACTCATACTTTCTAACTATGAAAATTTAGGGATTCTAATAATTTCTATTTATTGTATGATCCACATGATAACAAAAAAAAATCGACAAATCACAGAGAACAAATAAATTCTTTTGTTGCTATTATATAAGGAGCAACTGTGGATAAAATTATAAATTGAGTTTCATACGAAAACAAATAAAAAAATTTACATAGAAAACATTGATAATATATTAAAAAAAATTGGCTTATGCAGCTGATATTTATTTTGAGAAAAATTTTAATACTATGAATCTTTGATCCTATCAAATTCCAACTCAACGGAGCCAAAAGAAATGTTGAAACACCAACCTTAAAATAACGTCATGGTTTCTAACTCTCTTTTCCTCTACATAGTTTTTTAAAATGATTACCAAAATAACCTCTAAAACTATAAAGAATCAGAATCGATCTGCAAAATATGTATGTGGAGTTTGTAAGTTATGATGGAGGAAATTTTTAAAAGATCATATCAATTCGTTTTTATTTGAAAGTATCAATGAGATTATAATGGATATGGTGAAAAATTGCATTATTAAATGGCACACTTGAATTAAACTTTATCGATGGATTACATTTTATTTGTGAATAATTATCAATTTTAATTTTAATTTTTTAAAAAATTTATTCAGATTTCTAATTTAGTATAAATAAATAAAAACAATATAAATATAATAACATATAATTATTAAATTATGTTTTTAATTCTAACGTTTGATTTACGTACCGGGCACATTAGCTAGTTATATTATTATTTTTAAAATGATCTAAACGTGAATATCCTTATATCTGGTGAACATTATCCGCAAAAGATATATGAATTATCTACACAGTCAAATGTATCTAAGATTACTGTTGCTGAAAATAAGGACCTAGTCATTTATCCTTTATTAAAGACAGTCAAAGGTAAAAAAGAAAAAAAAAACAAAATTTAGTCATTTATCCATCCATATTGAAGACATTCAATGGCAAATTTCGTAATCCTTTTTTTCCTTTTTGGTCTAAGGGAAATATCGTAATTTATGTATTATGACCATGAATTTACAGATGTGGTAACTTCAGGAAAAAAAATAGACGTATTTTCTAGGACGACCATTTAGGATTTGGTAAACGAGTCAAACCAAAATGCTCAAAATTGTACGCCTTATTACAAACCGGCTGTTTCGGTTTAGGGTTTAAACATATGTTTTCGTAACCGGGACTTGAAGATCGTGGAACCGGAGAGCACTTTACTCTTTTCTTCTCTCGTCCCTCAATTGCGCAATTCGATGCCGTCGACGAATTTCTCAGTCTCGTCGACGATCGAAACGGCCGGTGTTGAGAAAACCCTCTTACTAACTTTAATTTTTAGCATTTCGGGATTTTCCCCTTAATGATTGTTTCGTTTGATTGTGTTTGTTCTTCGAATCACCTTCAGCACAATTTGCTCAGCGAGATGTAATAAAGAGAATCCTTTTTTTCCTGATGGATCACTTGATATGCGATTTCTGTGATTCGGTTTTTATTCAATCTTATAATCAAAGGGTTGGTTTGCTAAACGGAGTTTCGGTAAGGTGTGCCACAAGGTGTTCGACGAAATGCGTGAGAGAGGAAAATTGCAATCAACCAACGATCGTGACTTACAATATCTTTACTGGGTTCTTATGCAGAAACGATGATCTGGGCAAAGTCAAGATGTGACCTTTTCATGGTATGATCGAGTCTGCCCTCAATATTTATCCTCGTTAAGCTTAAAAGAGTTTGAAATGCTTTGATCTTTGTGTAGTTTACATTAAACCTGCGAAATTTGACAAATTAATATTCAAATCTTGTGGAGAAGTATAGCTGATATGTTTTCCTTTCTCCAAAACCAAACCACCACAGATAATGGAAAAAGCTATTACCTGCTCCATTTCATCAACTCCATCTTCTTCTATTAACAATCTCACTTTCTTTATTCACTCTGCTATATATATTGCTCTGTCAGAATCAGCTTCTATCATTCAAACAACAATCTTTGCATTTCTGATCATCCTTCTTGCTCAATGGCAGGTCAAAAGATACTCTCTTTCCTGGTTATAGCTCTCGTCGTTACTTTTGCAGCTGCTGCTCGGCTTCTTGATGAAGAAGATACATTCCCTGCCACAACCACCCCTGGCTCTGCCTCAGCTGCTGGATCAGGCCCCTTTCCTGGTCCTTTACCAGCTTCTGGCTCAGGTTCTGCGGGAACTGGCTCGGGTTCTGCTGGAACCGGTTTTGGTGCAGGAACTGGATCAGTACGATCAAGTGGTTCAGGTCCTGCTGCAACCGGTCTCGGTGTAGGTACAGGGTCAATACCATCAAGTGGTTCAGGTTCTGGTCCTCTACCAATCGCCGGTTCTGTTCCTGGTCCTTTACCGGTTGGTGGTCCAGGTTCCTTGCCTACCATTGGTCCCGGTCCTTTACCAGCTGCAGGTTCTGGTTCTTTACCGGGTGGTGGTGGTGGTTCAGCCACCGGTCAAGGTGTTGGCGGTGGTGCCGGTCCAGGTGTTGACGGTGGTGCTGGTTCAGGAGTTGGTGGTAGTGCCGGTTCAGGTGTTGGTGGTGGTGCCGGTACAGGTGTTGGCGGTGGTGCTGGTTCAGGTGTTGGTGGTGGTGCTGGTCCGGCTCTTGGTGGTGGTGCAGGTCCTGACCACGCATTGGTATTCTTTATGCACGATATACTCGGCGGTTCAAACCCAACAGCAAGAGCCGTAACCGGAGTCGTAGCAAACCCGGCTTTAAGCGGCCAACTCCCATTCGCTAAACCAAACGGTGCAAACCTTCCATTAACCAACGGAGTTCCATCGAACAACAACAACAACGGAATAGTCAACAACAACAACGTCCCTCTCCTCGTCGGACTCGGCGGAACAACGGCCAACATTCTCCAAAACAACGGAAACAACGGCAACAACAACCTCTTAAACGGTCTTCCCGTTGCTAATGGCGGTCAGTTACCTAGCGGTTCTGCTCTTCAGATGCTAATGTTCGGGACAATGACAGTGATCGACGATGAACTAACCGAAGGACACGAGCTCGGGTCTGGTTTGCTCGGGAAAGCGCAAGGGTACTATGTGGCGAGTGCGGTTGATGGTACTAGCCAGACGATGGCGTTTACTGCGATGTTTGAGAGTGGAGGTTATGAAGATAGTATAAGTTTCTTTGGAGTTCATAGAACAGCTGCTTCGGAATCGCATTTAGGAGTTATGGGAGGTACAGGGAAGTATGTAAATGCGAGAGGTTTTGCGATTGTGAAGACGTTTACGGGATCTAGTGGGACGCTGCAGCAGCAACCACATCAGTTTACTGATGGGCTTGAGACTGTTCTGCAGTGTACTGTTTATCTTTCTTACTAGTTTTATCTTGTTCTTGTTCTTCTGTTTGGGGATGTTTGGTGTGTGGAATGTATAATTTGTAATCTAAATGTGAAAGAGTTGTGTAAGCTTTGTATTTACTTTTGTTTTTGTGTCTGAAATCTACAGATTTGTTTGTATCAACTTATGGTTTAGATCAAAATTTATTCAAGTTCCTTTGTTGCTGATTCTAGTTTATGGTTCGGTTATGTTTTCTGGTTTTTTTTCAGTTTACATTTGAAAACGATTTAAATCGGATACACTCCATTCGGTTTACTATGGTTTCGGTTTATGTTTTAATCGTTTTGTTTTGCTGTGTTAATGTTTTGGTATGGTTTCGATTCGGTTTATGTTTTAAACATGACTTTGCATCCCTAAAATTTCATTAATCCCTGTCACAGTGTCACATATGGATGGAAGTTTTGAGCAAAGTTTGTTGTGGGCTTACATATGGTCCTAAAGCGTACCACAAGGCCTAATAACTCTCATTGTAGGAAAGAAATTAAATGAGCTTTTCATAAGCCGGTTTCACATTTTGGCATTTTGGCAAATTAGTGTCGTTTTGAGATCTGTGCACTAGAATACACTACAAAACCGGTTTCACAATTCCATATCGAGTGATATTAAAATACATTACAAAATCGGTTTCACAATTATCTATCGAGTGATTAAAAGGTATTCTTCGTTTATATAAGTTTAAATTACATTACAAAACCGGTTTCAAAATTCCATATCGAGTGATACTAAAATACATTACAAACCGGTTTCAAATTCTGGCAAAAGAGTGTATTTCAAATAAAACGAGGTGTGTGTGTGTGTTGACAATTAATAAAGGAAAATTATAGAAAAACTCTTCTTCCCTTTCACTTTGTTTTGGGATCGTAATTCGTTTATATTAAGACACTTATTAAATAATAATAAAATAAATAAATTGAAACAACGAAATGATAAAAGATAGAGATAATGTCAAACGGAATTCACTTGTTGTGTGTCTCAAATGAAGCAAAGCATGTCATGTTATAAAAGTGACATAATGGTGTTCTATCATCAGTTGCCGTCAATGCAGATTTGCTTGGTGGGAAACGTGAAAGAAGTATCATAATGATGAGATTTGCATGGTGGAAACTGTGAACGAAGTTTTATAGATAAAATAGTTTTAAGAATTAGAGAAAAACCCCAAAAAATACACCAATTATATAAAATTCGGAAGAAAAATATACAAACTATTTTGACTCCCTAAAAAATACATGAATTATTAATTGTTGTATATTTAATATTCAAATTATTCATCACTTGTTCTTTAATATGTAAACTATTAAATTTCGTGTATCTTACACAATTTTTATATGAAAATACAGTTTTACTTTCTTTTAATTTCAAAATTCGATTTTCCTCTTTAATTATTTATTTTTTATCAGAAATTCTTTATTTTATTTAATAATATATTTTTTTTTAAAACAAAAACAAAAAAAAATATCCTTCGTCTTTCTCCTCCGTCGAAACCGCTTCTTCTTCCCTCTCCTCCTTCAGATCCATCAACAATTGAGACCATATCTCTCACTATTTTCTACTCTCTTCCAAATGGATCTTCTAAATTTGCCTTCCATTTCTTCTTCTTCGCCACCACACCATCGAATCTCCTCTCCAGCTTCCCACTTGCAACGAATTCGACCGGTCATGCACCCGCGACAGGCTATATTTGTTTCTCGACATAATTGACAACGAGATTATGTCCAATCCGAAAGAATTTAGTTTTTTCTTCGTAGAGAAACTGGGATTATGGATCTGATGAGTGGCAGAGCTAAAATCGAGTTTCTGCAAGACGAAATCACGGTTGTGATTCGGAGCCTACGGAGTCGGTGATTCACGAGTTTTTATCTTTCACACATTATACCATGTTTTTGTTATTCGGGTTTGAAGATGAATCAGAGTAAAGGAATCGACAACACGAAGAAGCAATTGGTAAGGTTTCATTGCGATTTGCGACCGGAGCTTTCATATCGGCAGTTCAATTTACATGAACGCCACCGTAAACAACCCGTTATTCACTCATGTTCTTCTTTGCCAACTGTATTTCGTCGTCGGAGATTCCGAATCAGCGTAGCGTATTTGTTGAAGCCAGTGACGACCAGATCAATATTCCATCAATACGTCTAAATTAATCTATTTTTATTTTATAAACTATTAATTTTTTCTAAACAATATAAATTGAATTTAAAAAATAAAGGAGGATAAAGTTAGATTTTTATAATATAAATATTGTCAAAACGTGTAAAATATACGAAATTTAATAGTTCGTGTATTAAAGAAAAAGTGATGAATAATTTGCGTATTAAATATACAACGATTAATAGTTTATGTATTATTTAGGGAGTCAAAATAATTTGTGTATTTTTCTTCCAAATTTTTAATAATTGGTGTATTTTTCGGATTTTTTCCCTAAGAATTATGTAGATGTATATTCTGTACATAAACTACGTTAAATTTGTACTTCCGATTTAGGTTCAAATTTCTAACCATTTTAATTAATTTAGAATTGTTTATAAAAATTATCGATATATATATATATATATATTAAGTTATACAAAATTAATTTCTAGAACAAAACTATAAAAACTATAGAAATTTGAAATATTAGATGATAATAACTATAGAACTTCGTTGTTTACAGTTTACAATTATTATTTCTACTGTTTTAGTAAGAATAAAATATTTACAATTTCATTGGTGTAAATAAGACTTTACTAGTTAGTTAAGTTTAGTCCACATGATTATTCTTTTAGTTTTTTATTTGGCTAAAGAAATCCCACATGATTTTTGTTTTGTTATAGATAATATTTTGTCTTTAAGATTAAATATGCATATTTCTTTGAGGAAACGCCGACTCAACGTACCAAATTTCTCTAAAATATCGTATAAGATATTTATTTTTTCTCAGCTTTTGGCTTTTAAATCTTTCCGGCCGCCTAAAGAGTTTTTAGTCTATAAGTTTTTTTTTTTGTTTGGTCGAAAGTTTTTAGTCTAAAGTTATGCACAATTTCCACAAGAAAAGGACCTAAACAATACTGATGAATTAAAAAGCGATTTATACACTGATCATGGGTTTTAGTTTTTATTTGTGGTATTGCACTTTTGTAAAATCTTAAAACCCCAATAAATTTTCAATACGAAGAGCCTTTAACTAAACAAAAATATGTATCATTGATGTACTCTTAATAAGACTGGACGTATATCATCTACTCTTGCACCATTTTTGTGGAATAAAATTTCATCAGTTTTTTTAATCAACACATTACTACGTCGATTTTATACGTTTCCATCGCTAAGAGAGCCATATGTGACCGAATTGAACCATGCCCTAGCAGTATCTCCAAAACTTGGCTTTTGATCGACACAAAAAAAGCCACGTACGTTTGAAGTATCACTAAGCAAGCTAGCATTCATTAAAACATGTCATTTCATATTGTGTCGTTATATTTAGCCAAATACGACCCACCGTGAATATGATTGAAACCGGCACATGTCCCTACGACACCATATAAAAAGATAACTTTGATCATAATTTGTATTTAAATGTTTTGCTTTTTATTGTTTATGAAACTATATAATATCGGTAGCACGCCAGACATACAATGGTCCTCATGTTTTGCATCCCCATTATTCACCCTTTTTCTCATTTTTCTCCGATCCCTACAAATATGCAGGGCACGTGTCTATACAAATATCTGTATATGATTATATTCTCCATATAATATCAAGCGAGCAATATAAAGTTGAAAGCAATAATCCAAACGAAAACATCCTCTAATATTTCGTATGGCCGGTTTATAAATAAACTGTATATGGTGCGTAGGTCATATTTGGTAATCATTAATCAGCATCAGAACCTATTTAAAATTTAAATACGCTATCCATAAGAAAGTATATTTGAAATCTGGTTTTAACATTGAAAACAAAAGGAATTAGTCAAAGATATGCCAAATAAAATTTTTAATCATTCATTCAATACAGAAATAGAAGGTGTGAGCATAAATCGCTTTTCAGATAGTTAGAGCCTCAATCAAATATATCACAAGAAAGCTTAAAATATGAGCAGCTTTTCGATTATACGAGATGACTTGGAGATCCGATAGTAGGAAGAAAAATACTAAGCTCCTCAAATACTCTTTTACAAAATGAAAATTTTTTTAACAGAGATGCACATATATTATATGAATAAGGTTTATCGTATGTAAATATTGTGTAGATCATGATTCGTTTATGTGACATGCGCTTTGTAAACATCGGTAAAATTTCATTAAGAAAATGAAAGTTGATTAAATGTCTTAAAATAAAAGCCACATGTTTCAAACATATGTATGTAAACTATTACATCACCATAAATCTTATTATTACATTGGTACTAGTACGACATGACAAATGTCAAATAACCATATCTTTTAGACTCAATTACAAAAGAAAAAAAAAAACTAAGATTTGAGGAGGGAATGATTAGGAATGTGAGGAAATGAAGGAGAAGAAGTAGAAGAAGGCCAAAGCTGAGCAGATTTGACCTTGGAGATGCTTTCTACTACTCCCAAAGGTGTTACTTTTCCGACCACCGTCACCTTCTTTGTCGCTATATCAATGGTGTATGACGTCACCCCTGTTAATTTTGTTCAACAACTATAATTAATTTATCATATCCATATATTCTCTTCATTAAAATTTTCTTGATTTAATATTGAAATTTCCTTTTAAAAGGAAACAAGTTGTTGCTCAGAGGCATCCGATGATCAGGAAAAGTCAAAACACTAACCTATAAAGCTCCTAACCAATATCCGTTTTAGTATATTTATGTTTGCTAAAATTAGACAATATCTTACATATATGGTCATCTATCCGTTGAATATCTTCATTCGAGTTGTATATATAAATGTTTTGGTTATGTTTGATATGATACTTTAGTCTTGTAGAATGAAGAAGAGACTCTTTAGTACCTTCCATTTTGGAGATATGCTTTCTAACCTTCCCTTCACATCCCTTGCAATGGATCGACACCCTCAAAACCACAACCTACCAAAAATAAATAAATAGATCAACATCATATTACTAAATTAAGTAAAAACAAGTAGAATGAAACATCATATCAATTAAAACAAATAAAACCAAATGGTATATATTTGCATATACATTCAAAGATATCTATATATCATATGAAATATAAATTTACCTGACCAAACCAAATCAGAAAATGTAAATTAATATCATAAATACTTTGGGACCAAGAAGGCATGTAACATAGTAGTTTGTGCTAGTGTTTTTTTTTTTTCTGTCACCACCCAAATTCAAATTCGGTAAAATAATCATGTTATAAAGAAAAAGCATGAATATTTTGGCTAAAGAAGAAGAATCAAACCTGATCATCAGTGGATGGAGCCGGCGATGAAACGTTGGTTACAGAAGACGAGGAAGACGAGGACGAGGAAGAAGAAGAAGAAGAAGAAGTGACGTTGCGGTCACGGAAAATGACCAAATCCTTAGAACGATCCGATGATGATAACCAGAGGTCCTTATCACCTTCTTTAAAAGACTTATGATCCTTTAGAAGATACCTCGACGATAATGAGCCATGCAGAGAACTGCTCGATCTTTTCAAGTCGCTTACGTCAGCTGAGCTTTTCCGGCGAAGTTGAAAGTCGCCGCCGTGAGGTGAAGTGATCTTCCGGCGAAACCCACTTGACGACTCAAAAGAGTTTCTGCAGCTCATGGTCGGACGAGGAATAGGAATAAAAGGCATTTCTGAAGTGAAACATGGGACGGTTTTGTTCTTATTGTTATTAGGGTTTTGTCTCCGGCGGTGGCTTTCGACGGATCTACGACCTCCGGTGACTTCTCCGTCGTGGTGAAGTGTAGTTGGTCGTACGGCGGTTGATGCCGGAGAAGAACAGAAAATATCACTTATTTTCATTCTCTCTTTTTCTCTCTCTATCTCTCTTATTCACTTTCTCACTACAACAGTCACACTTTCTGTCTGTTGATTTTAAGAGAAGAATGGTCGTGTGATTAAGCGACTAATTGCTGCTACTAATAAAGGTTTTAAAGAGGAGTGTTACGACTTACGAATCATTTATTATGTAATTGTTTTTATATTTGAAATGAGATATTATTACAGAATGGGGTCCCATGCATAAGAAGGAGTGTGTGGAAAGCATACTTTGGATCGATCTAGATTCTAGATTGATGATTCTGCACCTTCTAATTTGCCATTTTACTTTCGTTTGATTTAATATTCAAAAAGAGAAATTGAGATATTTAATACGCTGCTTAAAGCTCGTTCTAGTTTCTAAGATTAGTTTGCTTTTTCCATCTGGACTAATCAAAATAAAACACAAATACATGATAAATTTCTGCATTACAGCATATTTTAAATATTTTCTCAATAATACTAGTATGATTTTTTAAGTTTTCTTTAAGAAAACAGACCACAAGTTTTATGATAAAAGCTTTGAAAAGCTTATGATATATTTGTTTACAAATGAATGCAGCATTTTTCCTAGATTTATAGGAACAATTCTCAAATTTGTTTGCAATATTCTTTATTTAAAAAGAATATATTATGCTATTTCTGAAAAGTAAAAACTAATTTTGTCTGGGAAAGATGACAACACTGAATGACATTATGAAAGTAGCTAGAACTATTTTCATTATGCTATTTCCTAAATGTGTGTGTCTGTGTGTGTGTGTCATATGGAGATGTTAGTGAACCTTCTTAGAGGCAAGGAGGCTAACGTTGCGATCTCATTTCTAATAACAGCTTTTAAGACTCGAATCTTTGTTGCCAAAGTGGCTATTTTTATAGACATGAAAAATTAACACATGCAGATTAGCATTTTGATCAATATTATATATTACTATTATTATATAATGTTGAAGACCAATGGAATTGTACATCGTATATTCCCACTAAGTACTAGTGTCTCGATGTGGGGACAAATAAAATTCTGAAAAAGCTGAGGTTCAATTTTTGCTAGAATGATTACTATCACTAGCTAATAACATGCATATATAACACTTTGAACCTAGCCACTAATTTCATAATTGAAATATAACTACTGGGTATAGAATATACTAACTGTGACTAAAGTTACTTCTATAATTGCTTATCAGATGGCAGTGATCTATACATGCGATTACCAAATGTTTGAGATTTCCCATAAGTTCTTTTGATTGGACTTTCGGAAACCAAAACTGATTTTTGTAATTAAAAGTTTTCATTTCATCATCATTAAAACTTGCAGCGTTATAGCTAAACAAAATGGTGATTTAGAGAGAACCATGATAAAAACTTGTTGCAACGAAAATATTTGTTAAATTAACATGGATGTCCCCATATACAAGTCAAATTTCAAAATAATGGGAAACATGTTTGATATGCTGGTAAATTCGAGGACAAAACAGATTTCACTCTTGTCGTTCTTGAGAACTACTGTTGGTTTGACAAGGTAGCTACGCTCTATCATCGCTATATACTTAAGGTATCTTATCCTTTAATTTAATAATAAATTGGGTTTACAAGCCCCACACATTTGCCTACACATTTATACAATCCAATCAAACGTTGTTATTGAAAGCATATACGGTCTCTTATTGTCGTAAATAAGAGATGTATCTAAAAACTTTTTTTCCCTACTGATTAAAAAATTAGCTTTTAATCATAAGAAACGGTCTTAGAGACCCGATAATCCTGCTAAGTTTTAACTAAGAACGAAACCAATTCCACTATCACCGTAGTTTGAGATGTCCGTTTTACAAGGTGGCTACATTTTTCTGTGTAATCTGAAGTTTAAGGGCTTATCATGTCTGATAAGCGGGCTAGTTTAGGAGCCTTCTTTTAGATATCAATATCAAAACCAATGGGCCTTCATTTGCTCTAATGTAATTAAGTGAGTAACATTAAAACCAACTTAAACTAATACTAATTAGCCGACACGAATAAATATGAACCAAAAGAAGAATTCTGAGCAACCAATTGAATTCCTCGTTGGTCTACAATTTTTTTTTTTCGTTTTCTAATCATGTAATCGAATCAAATAGAAAAATGTTTATATCGTAGACTAAGTTATTATAATACATAAATTACCGGTATGTACACGCGGTTTATTTTTCTAATATATATAATTTTAAAATTTTATAAACTATTGAATTGATAAGTAAATCTTTCTTTATCATCTCTTTATAAATTAAGTAAAATAATTGTGTCATTTTGAATATTAAATTACTCTTTAACCAATATATATATAACATGTAGTTAAGTCATGATCATTTATCCATATTCTTTTGTGTATTTATTTTTTTTGCATTTATTGTTTTTTTTTTGTTGGAATCAAATTTGTTGTTAGTCACTGAAAACATAGAATCTATTAAAATGTCACATTCCTAGCTCAAGATATTTATTTTATTGTATTTATCTGCCAAATGCTGGTTTATGCATATTTTCAAATGATTTTTTTTTTTAACATTAAAGTTAAGTTATTAAAGTTAAGTTATGGTGCTTTTCTCTTAATTAAATTCCACTGTAAATTCTAATATTTGAACAGAATTGAGACACTAAATTTAATTATGAAAGTAAATTATTGTAGAAATATCTCATATTCATTAAAAAAGTTTATATAAAGTTTTAATTCATTTTGTGTTATCCTTTTGATCATGCTTAGAATCGAACACAAACACGAGGGGGAAAAAAAGAATCGAACACCAGACTTTATCAGTTATCAATCCAGTATTTATTTTTCTGCAAAGCTCTATTACACCTCTACTATGCGGAGTGAGCCTACAATGAGTTTATCAGCCAATATTGAAACAAGTCAACAGATAATTCAATCAAAACTCAAACTAACAATCTATAACTTACTAAAGAATCTAAGATTTTTATTTCGTTGCGCTTCACTTTCACCTCCCTCCAAAAGGGGTATGATATCTCTTGACGTAATAGAAAAAGGCTAAATGGTCTCTCCTTCTCCACCGGCTTGGACAACTTGTCCATCCCTTTCCATCTTGGCCACACTTAGTGGTATGGTTAGATTCACCTTCAACTACAACAAACCTCACCCTCAAGCGTCTCTCTACACAAGCGAAGATATTCTACCATTGGAAGGAACGGAACAACCGTTTGCACACCGGTTTGTCTCTCTCCCATCTCCACGTATTCAAGAAAATTGATAGATTCATCAAAGATATCATTCTTGCTCGTCTTCACAGGAAGGCTTTCAACAATCTACTCTATCTCTCTCTGGTTTGCTCATGAGAAATCATTGTAAATGTTTTCACAAATCCTACACCTGTTTTGAATTAGACTTTTTTACACTTTTTTGGGCCTTTTGCAATCTTAATAGCTTCGCCAAGCTGTTTGTAATAAACGTTCCTTTGGTAACTAGTTTATATACTTATCCCAAAAAAACCTAAAATGCTATTCACTTGAAACCAAGAAAAATTTAAAAGTGATAATCTTCGAGCTGTCAATACTCAACAATCAGCTTTGGTCATCATCAAACTACTTCATTACCACTACCAACAACGAAATGTGCCTTTGAATCAGAGACTACACAGAGATTCAGAAGAGAAGCTTAGTTCATGAACAACAGCCAGCTTTTGATGCTTTAAAGTTTAATATAATTTCGTTGTCGTCTGCCTCCGCCGAGATAGTATCCATCAAAGTGGTTTTTGATTTCTTTGTATGCAATCAACCAGAAGAAATCTTTAAGACGAAACAGATAGTACATAAGAAAAAGGGAGCTTGGATAACTGGATTACAAAAAATAGAGAAGAAGTTAAAAAGTCTGTTGAAGAGCATTGAGGGGAACATGAGTGACCGTTTTTGGGATAGAGATATCGTTTTTATGGACAGAAATAAATTCATTTTTACCTAATTAAAGAAACGATGATGAAGAGTCAGAGCATGAGAGCATCATTAACACAGAGATCAGCTGCGTTTCTAACAGAAATGTTAGAAACCAATTAATAAAAAATTGTAACCACGTCTCTAATTTGGGAGAAACATTTCTTATTTTGCGACTTTTAGAAACTTTTCTTCCCACACGTTGCAGGCTCCCATTTGCTAACGGGATTGGGAGAAAAAAAATTCCCTTGTGTTTTCTTTCATTTCCCCGACTTTTCCTATCTTCTATTTTCCTCTCTTCTCCGACAAAAACGATTTGTCTCCACAGCTTCTCCGAAATTGACGACAACTTGTAAGGGAATGCTTTCAGATAAGTTTTATGAACCCTAATCTCATCTCTCATTTGTGTAATTTTGTTCGTTAATCCTCTGATATCTCTTTCTGTTCATACCAAAATCGACAATTGTCTGTGCTAGGGTTAGATTGTCATCAGCTTTATTCTCTGTATTGATCAATGTTTCCAACGGTTCATCCCTGATTTGCAATGAAATTCTAATTTTGAAAATTGGAGCTTTTCGTATGTGATGAAATTTCTATGTTTTGTTTGCATTTTTAGGTTAATTAGATTAGATTAGGTTGTATTTGAACAAGAAATCGATTGTTTGTGCTGGAATTGGTTGAGTCATTCATCGTTCCTGATTTGCAATGAAACCCTAATTTTGAAAATTGAGGCTTTTCGTGTGTGATGAAATTTCTATGTTTTTCACATTTTCGGGTTAATTATTAGATTAGGTTGTATTTGAACAAGAAATCGATTGTTTGTGCTGGAATTGGTTGAGTCATTCATCGTTTTTGGTTGGGATAGTTGTGGTTTTCATTTTATGTCTGCGTAAAACTATGTATTGGTGGGGATATAGATAAGTTTCTTAAGTTTCGATATGTGCTTTTGATATTCGATTCTGGTCTTCTATCTAAAGTTTTGTCTTTGTTAACCACAAATTTTTTTCATGTTCTTTATAGAGTAATGCCGATAAGCTACACCAACAGCTCATCTTCCAAAGCAAGCTATTACAGCGGTTGTGCAAAAGCTGATGGGAACTTTGGGATACCTGACCGATGCTATTGTGGCCTTCGTT